CAAGGGTGTGCCAACTGCCAAGTGCAAGGCCAAGGCCAAGGCGAAAGCCAAAGGTGTCAAGACTGATCCTGAGACAAAAGCTTCTTCTTCTTCTGGGCGCAAGGCACCTGCCGCGCCACGACAACAGTTGGCCACGGCTGTCAAGGAAAGCCTGCACCGATGTGCGACTGGGGACTTGGCTTCGAGTCAGAAGGTGCCAAAGAAGGATGCCAAGAAGCCAGCGAAGACAGATAAGAAGGATTCCACGGACAAGGAAGCTGCAAAGGTTGCAGCAAAGAAGAGGAAAACGACTGAATCGCAGCCAGAGAGTCAGAAGGAAGATTTGGTAGATTCAGAAGCATCTCCATCTCATGAGTCTGAAGACCCACAATACGATGAGGAGGAATTGGAAAGGGTCAGGGCAAAGAAAGCACATCATGCCCTATTCATGAAGTTCAGCAGATCGTTGAAGAGCAACTTGGTCCAAGTAAACCACTTAGCGCAGTCAACATGTCTACCAAAAAGCTTTGCTAGTGCCAAGGCGTGCAATAACATGTTAAACTCTTGGGTATACTGAGGCAAGGCTACACCACTCTGCATCAGAGAGGCCGGGCGCAAAGCGCATCGCTGCATCTTGTCTGATCGGTGGGTGGATCAAACTACAGTTATGATGAAGCAACCAATGCTGTTCTTTAGGTTGATCAATCTAAGATGAAAAAACTCGATGGTTCTGAAAGCTTTGCGCAATGAAACGACTGTTCAATATCTTTTGAACATTTGTGGCGATCATAAGGCAGCCCGCGCTTGCAAGTCTTGTTTGAGCAATGGTCAGCTTGCTCTGGGCAATGGAGGGCTTCAGAGATGTACCTCAGAATGTCCTCCTCAACAAGGTATTCCACTCGCGGGTCCCGGCAGTGGCTCACTTTTGAGCAGATAGCTCAAAAGTACCACAGTGAGGATGTGGCCCGTCAGATCTGCCAGGCCAAGGAGGCCCTAGATGATGAGAACCGCAGGCTTCAAGTCAGGAACCATCCAGATGCTCCAGTGCCCTAGCTAAATCAAATCTTTGACCAATGCCAGTCCTATACGTTATGCATGCACTTTTTACTTGAATGGTGCCCGTGTATACATGTACTTGTGATCCCGATTGTATGTCGATCCTTTCGGGCGCCTTTCTTTCTTAATTCGATATGTGTGCCACGGATCCATCTAAGGGCCTGAAGCAGTACCTGGTGTGGGTCGAGGATGCCGAGTCTGAAGAGACTGATGACACGATCACCAACTTGTTTGAGGCCTGTGACTATGAAGGGAGTAGGAGTCGTCGTGGGAGGAAGCACAAGAGGTCGAGGTCACCAAGTTCTAAGTCGAGGTCTCCAAGGAAATCTCGTCGGGGGAGGAAGGGGAGCAAGGTGTCGACCAAGAAAGATAAAAAGAAACGCTGTTCATCGTCCAGCACCTCTCGAACTGCCAGTGACTCAAGTTCCTCGTCGTCGGCAAGTTCTGCTGCCAAGAAGGCGCTCTGGGTTACTTTGTCCGTTCATCCATCGATCTATCTCACCCCAGATGATATTGAATCTTACACGCCATTGATTGCTTGTCCGTTCTGCAATTTGTCTCACCCAAATAATTGATTACACACATTGATTTCCATTACAATTTCAATCTTTGCTGTCAGAAGAAGTCAAAGGGCAAGAGTGGGAAAGGAAAGAAAAGTGATGATAAGAAGGTACCCAAGAAGGAGACTGAAGCGCAGAGAGAACGCCGCGAGAAGAAAGAGCGTGAGGAAAAGCTTCGTGAGGAGGAGAAAGCCCAGAAACAAGAGTTGAGTAAAGCCGTTTCAAAAGCCAAACAGGCTCGATCTGAGAATCCACTTGCACATGTGCACAGGTGCATGTGTATGTGCAATGCAATAGCATGCATGCATCTAGTATGTGGGATGTAGCTAGAATCAATGCATGTGCCATTGTGCAATCGTATTGACACTGATTGACACGTACTCCTGTAAGTTAACGATAACAATGCTGCCATATTGAATGATTCCTTGATGTTTCAAACAATGCGCTATTGTGTCAGGCGGTGTCAAAACTCAACACTGCAATCGGGAAAGCCTCAACATTGAAGGGCAAGGCTGACAGCATGTCTTGTCCTCAGCGCATTTAAGCAATTGTCTCAGTGAACTTCTGGAACAGTGGCATAACTGCCCTAGAAAACAAAACGCTATAGCATCTCGATCTCAGTGATTAGGGATTCAAATTCCCTTTCAAACCTTTCAGAAGATTCTCTTACATCTTTAGTTGTTATTTGACTCCCAGGGTGTGTGTTTAATCGTGAATTTGATGCGCGTGGAAGGTCAAAGTCTTTGAAGAAGATCTTCCTCGAGGAGTTGAACCCCCATGTTGCAGCTATGCAAAAGATGAGGGATTCCGTGCAGAAGCGTGTGGACTCGGCCAAGGCCATTTGTTTGCACACGCCATTGTACCTGTCAGCGCCCAAACTTAACAAAAACTCTCTGGCTATGTTTGGCAAAGTCATGATTCATAGAAAGTTGCAAACACAGATCTGCCCTGGAAGTCTTTCGAACAATTTATATTATATTGTAAACTCATTTCCCAAAAGTCTTCGACTTCTAGGGTCTCAAATCTCACACAGTGCAGTGTTGCCAGCTCTGAAGGTTGGTGATGAGGAGAAGCTCAAGAACAACACTGAGACGGACAATGTGATTAGTGCCTTCACCTCCTTTTTGAGGGACAACAACATGAAGTAGTGATTATGGATCTTGTCATTCCACTCTGAATCTTGTTCCTGGTGGGACCCTGGGTTTTAGCAACATGTCCAGGACATTTTGCTTTAGGGGGCCTAGGGATCCAGGAGTGCTTGGGGGCATGTTCAAACCCAAGAACTTGCCAAGAAGTGGTCTATAGAACTTCGCCATTGACTTAGCTATATAGTTTCCAGTTGCTCTCCAGGCTTTGGCCCCCGACTTCCGACCGAAGCATTCTTGCCCACCTGTGGCAAGTCAGAGTAGCGATTGGCCTAATGGTCCTGGGGGTTGAGTGAAAAGATGCATGCATTCCCAAGAACTTCAGTGTGATTTGGTGTCTTCAAGATTGAACTGGGTGGTAACTTTCTGGCATTGATGCATTTTAGTCTGTGAGTAAATGGTACTTGCAGTACATATGTGGGCTATATGTACTTCAAGTTCCACATTAAACTGATACCATCTGGATCTCCTACCAATTGATTTGGCCAGGCGATCCCAATTGTTCATACGTGCTGCAAGAACAAATCGACTGCGTCAGCAGAGGGGTGATTTGGCCTAAACATATTTGTTTATGTGTGCACAGTCGACTTGTCCTAAACCAACGCTGGACCATCCCCCTTGCTGCCTCAGGTATCTTCGACTCATCAAGCGATGAAGCAAATGCGAGCTCACTTCAAAGAACCTCAGATGAATTGAACTGCGGGCTGAGGTGGCATGGTGTTGATGTTTTGTTTTATCCAAGGAGTCCGGCGGAAATGTGCATGCTAATAGTGCCATGCTGGGTTCCAAGAGTGGCTGGAACGATTCTCGGGATTTTTGGAATTTCACAAACATTGGAGCCGCCCCTTGACTTTTATTCGATTGTTTTTCTTTTATAGATTTTATGTGGTGCTATTTTCTTGGGTGGGGGGTTTATCTTGACCAAGTATATTTGTGACATGTGAGGAAATCCACTGGGTGCAGGTTCCAATCAAAGACCAAAAAAATCCTGGAAGGGTTACCTTTGAATCTCAACCCATGCTTTGGCCACACGAGATATTTGACTACCTCTTCAACGATCTGGGATTCACCGTCTCGCTGGAAGAACGGAAATCATATTGGGAAGAGGCCAAATCGTCTGGGGAGCCGTGGGCTGTTCGCAACCCTGCTTCGGTGGCGCACCATCCTTGTGGCATCTATGGGGACAGTGCCAGGTTGCCCACTTCGTATACCCAGGAAAAGGTGACTGGAATTTTCCTGAACCTGGTCTTGTTTCGACCAAGATCGATTAGGTGCAGTCGTTTTTTATTGTGGTCATGCGACACAAAAAAGCTGTTCCGCAACAGAACGACGAACCAAATCCTCCGGTACATCGTTTGGAGCTTCCAATTCGCATTCATTGGAAAGCACCCAACACATACAATGGGAGGACGCCCCTTGGACACTCCAAAGGCTGGCACACCTTTGACTCCTGCCAACGATTGCTTTTGCATCACAGAGAACAGAGGTGACTGGGAATGGCACCTGTTGCTGTGGCGATTCAATGCATCGTGGAAGGGTAACGAGATTTGTTACCGGTGCCCCGCAGTTTGCACAGGACCTGTAGGAATGTGCTACTACACCACAAATGAAGATGCAGATTGGCTGCATCAGGAGTTTGGGACTTCCCAGTTTTTAGCAAGGAGACTGAAGAGTCGCAACTTGTGTAACTCTGGCCTGACCCAACACTTATTTTAATTTTATGGTTTTGGGGGGTGGGCCTGTGGTGCAGAATTCAAGACATTGTCATATCATATTACTATTCCCGCGTCAAGGCCCTATGATCCTATTGGATGGATGGCACCCATCCATGATAAAGATATGCTCTATGCATACCCTGCAGCTGGGACTGCTTTTTGCTGCGAATGGTGGGGCCTTGTACTGTGGCTATGTTTATTGTATTGTTTCTCTTTCCTTGTTTTTTGTTTTTTTACCCCTTTTGACAACCGGTCAAGATCTACCCATTGGCCAAGGCACCCCATCGACTGACCAGGAAGGTGTAGGTCTTCCATAGCCATGGCTGGTGCCTTGAAAAATAGTACTATATTCAGGGCCATGTAAAATGCATTTAGGGGGATACCTTAAGGAATGTGCATTTTTCAAGGCACCAGTCTTTCCTGCACGGAAGGATCATTTTGGCAGAAGAACTTTGCCACTTTGGCGCTCATGGAGGAATCTTCCAGCAACAACTAGACGCAGCCTATACTAGTTTCAGAACCTTTTGCGTGACAGCTGGTATCAGGCACAGCCAGCCTCCTTTCACAGCCAGATTGGTTTCTTGGCATATTGCTTTAGCTAGTCTTGAAATAGATAAAGAACTAGAAAATATAACTATAAAGACTATCAACCCTGCTGTTAAAATCAAAAAGGTCATTTGTCATCTCCAAGGTTAAAAAGAAGGATGGCCACCTGCTGATGACCTGCAAGGCTCACAACGGGCGGGTGGTCATGGAATGGCTTGCTGAGGAACTACGCGTAGCTGTGAGCTCTGGCCTCTACCCAAACCACTCCCGGCTAGAGCTAGCCTCTGTTTGCCTAAGCCTTGCAGGCATTTTGGACTGACTAGTCTTCCCCAGAATAGTGTCTGCCTGGTCCTCTCTAGTCTGTCCGCCCGGTCCTCTCTAATCAAACCTGGTTGTGCAGCAAAGGACATCCATTGCTCGGGTGCAGTTTCTTAGCGAAAGCAGTGGGCGGCGATTGTGCCTTGCTCCACATTGAGTTATGTTTCTGTGTTTCCATGCGTGTGCGTGTGGATGAATGTGCAATGCACGCATGAGAGCCCATGGGTGCACTCAACCTTCATATGCCATGCCTCCTTCCCAGGACTTCGGCAGTGGCCCAGGAGATTTGGAGGGAAGGGATGCAATTCCTAGATTCCTACAAATGTCTCCAGATCCTTTCAGTGAGGCACGATATGTGGAAAATGCATGTTGTAAGGTTTGCTTGTTCTGTGCCTGAATCATGAACAAGCTTGTTCCCATGGCAGTGCTTGTTGAACTGAACCAGGGAATCCCGACAAACTTTTCTGATCCGGCCGAAGGTGCACGAAACTTGCATGCAATTTAGTGCATGTGGCAAACACACATGTAAGTCCAACAGCCTTGAATAAATTTAACCACCAATCAAGATTCAAGACAAATAAAGAATCCACCATGTATCTCCTCTTAGCTGAGATGCTGGCGCACTTGCTTTGGGATATGCTGCTCACTCGTAACGTGGATGCATTACAATTGCGCAAATCTGATCATGCTTATTTTGCAAGATTGTATTGGATGGTGTGCTAGCTGTACGGGATACAGTTACTAAGGTGCCAACTATCGCTTTTGGCATTGTTTTACTGATGAGGATGCCATGGGTTGGCTCAAACGCCACTTGGCTGAAGGCAATTGGAACCCAGGGGCTTGGACCATGGATGTGCGTTGAACATGTTCTTGGGTCCACTGTTACAGTGCCTTGTTGATCCGCTTTCAGTTGCAAATTCTTTCCAGCCAGCAAAGGAGTTGGAGCAAGCACTCACTTGAAGAACCGGCCCCGGTATATATTGCGTATTGCTCGTCTTCGGATGAAGAGTATGAAACATCGGATCAAGTGGTAACCTGGCTGAGTTTCAGATCTGGGTTGCCTATGTTGGAGTTTGTTGAAACCCTGATGGTATTTTGATCCATCTTAGGCTCTTGAGGTCTTCACAGAGACGCAGCTGAGCAAGTGTCGCACATGTATGGAAGAAAAGAAACAGCTGTGCAGCATTGGTGGAGATGCTATCCATGAAAAGGTCATGTTCTATAATGTCTGTTGTAACAACGACCATTCTAAAAAAGGCTGTTGGACTTGTAGGGTATATAGAACATTAGATCAGTGAAACCTTATAGTTTTTGAAGTTCAGACCTTCAGGATACTCAATGTTTCTGGTAATACTTGGGTCTAAGATCTTTTCAACTTCGACATGGACATCATCTTCCTAGAGCACCATCCGATCCCTATGTTCTCCTTGTGGGTCGAAGATCAAGTCTTCAGCTGGCGAAAAAGCAGCTCCACTAGCCGATGGTACCCATCCACCGGGGGGGTGCGCGCGTCAAACACGCGAGCTGTGGGTGTTCCACACCGTTTCTTCGATGGCGAGGAACGTGATGTGCCCGAGCACATGATGGTGGAGGGCTTCCGGTGGTCAATCGGCTCCGCGTCCAAACGTTGAAAGCTCTTCTCGGGGGAGAACCCCCCGAGATGCGACCCTGAGCTGAGATAAGCTGATAGGGTAGAAAGAGGGTTCCGAGTCAAGGGGGCCTATGGGCCCATCTGTGGAGGGGGTCAAATGCTCAAAAAGGCGGGCAACTCATTTGTGTCTCACAGTCGCGAACGGATTTGTGTCTCACAGTCGCATTAAGCTTCTCAACCGAATTTGACGGAGGAATTGAGCTGGATCGTTTTTGGGGCTGTGCATGAATGGGTGGGGGCTGTGATGTCACGGCAAAGTTGCTCATCTTGGTTCACCGGAGCATGGTGGCACCACCTACTGTAGCACTCGTGAGCACCCAGGTGATCAAGTGCATCCCTGTGCAGGGATTGAGGGTTGTCACCACAAGTGTCGTTTTCCAAGATGGGTTCCGGGGTCCAGTTTGTGCCTAGGAAGCAGTTGTTGCAACCATATAGCCCCCTCTTTTTCAATGCAAGGAACTCATCAACAAAGTGACAAAGCAGACCCAAGCAGCACAGAACAGAACCCTCCTAGCAGCACAGAAGTCACTCGCGCGACCTCAAGTTTCACCATTCCCAAACACCAGACGTCCTCGCTCCGTTCCGGTTTTCACCGAGGCTTAGTGGCTCGGCTGTTGATGCGGATCATCACCGAGGGATCGACGGCCGTGATGCCCGGGCACCCGGCTGGAGAGGATGGTCGCCACCGGTGGGTGTGGACCCAGGTCAGGCGAAAGGACGCGTTTGGGGGGTCGCTGCAGGTGCGACGCCTATTTTGGGCGCGTTGAGCTCTTGTGAGCCCTGTTCAATGAGTCCCATTCTCTTCTGAGTCGAAGTCAGCTTGTGCGATTTTGATTTTGTGACAAGAAGGCCTGAGAATGCCTTTCGAAGATCCACGAAGTTGTAAAGCAGCAGTCAGAGGCCTACGGCGGGTATGTCGTTGGTATGCCAGGAGGAATTCATAGGTGGGGGCCATCCCAAGGCATTTGCTCCATTTCAGTTCATTGGTTGCGAGAAACTCCGGTGACCTTGGCACGACCACCCCCGTGGAAGAAAAGGACGCCAGCAAAAAAGGATGAGATCACGGGAGGGTGGCCATCCGTCAATGGTCAGACTTAACTCGTGTGGCTCGTGTGGCCCTTGACCCATCGCAGGCAGGCCATCTACCAAGACAGTGCCAAACTCCTGCGACACGCCTTGATGGAAGCTCCTCGAGTGCCTTGGGTGACCAATGGCAGTGGCCAGTGGCTAGTGATGCGGCAGCCCCCTACTCGGGGGTCCGAAACCAAGTACCGATCATCAACCATCATAGACAATATGCACAAAGTGCTACAAGTGTAATTCTGATGAGCTGGAATCATGTTGCATGTTCTAAGGTACTTTACAGGTTTCAACCTTCCAAGCATGTTCTTTTGCGAGAAGTGACAGCATACCTAGACCTAGGAAGCTTGAACAAGATGTTCACAGCCAACAAATGTGCCTGTACATTTACCATGACCTTCAGTACATGACCTCTTGGTGTCTAGCTCGTATCTACAGGCCTCAAGTTGTGACTGAAATCCTGGAATCTGGGTCAACACGGTCACCTTGAAGGTCCTGGCAATGTACCCCGGTGTTGAATGCAGATTTCTATTGAGTGTAATAAGTAGGACACGCATGGGTCCATAGATGGTCCTGGCAGTTATCACCTTGTGTTGGTTTGTTGACCTCTGATCGTATGAAATCCATTGCTGGAGGAAATCAGAGCTGGACTTTCGAAGCATCGCATTCCAGACGTTCAACCGGCGCAAAGAAACCTCTTAAAGAAGCTGCAACAACTACGTTTAGGCCATCGTGCGAAGTAGTTGTGTGCACAGCTTAAACACGAAGGCACAGAAGGTTGTTTTGCACTGGCTAGAAGGGTCCAGGGTGGGAGATCTCTCTCAGAATCCGTGGATCGGGGATCAGCCACGACTGGTGTGGGCCGCCCATTCGCAAGTCACCAACAGTGTGGCGGCTGGTGGGGGTCGCTGAGGGGACTCGAAACTCCTTGCAGCTGAATGTCCGGGTGGGCAGCCAATCAATCTCACCATTGTATTGGGCACTGAGGACGGGCCACCCAGCTCCGCCGAAAAACAAACGGCCGGAGTTTCGGGTTTTTGGGTCTCTCCTAGAGTGGTGTGATTGGCCCGATGGAAAGAGTCAGAGAGGCAAAAGATGCATTCATCTGAAGATGAACATGGAACCCCAAAACATCCCAAAACCACTGGTTGGTAGAGGAAAACCATCTTCTAGGGGACCATTCCTGCATGAATTCGGACCTTCAAAGCGCGATTGGAGAGCCGGTCGACCAGACATGGATTTAAGCTGGCGTCGATCGCGGCCTATCCTTTTCATCCCCAATTTGTTGCACGGACGTCAGATTCCATGACAACTACAGGCAACCTGTTTCTTTAGAGAAGACAAGCTGCACCTACTTTGATAGAGTCTCCGCTCTTTTTCAGCGTTTTGTTGCAATGACTTCGAGGATCCAGTTGAGCCAGGCTCCAACTCTCGAAACCAGTGAGCCCACCCGGCCGGCGTTCTCAACTCATCTTTCCTCGCAGGAGCGGTTGCCACACCGCAGCGAGGACGATGATCCAAGATGTGCTCACCATCCGCGCCGCCGCTCGCGATGAGGGGGCTGGACGAGTCCGTAGGGCTGTCCCACATGCCAGGGGATAACTACCTGAGGATGTGGTTGGAGCACTAGGCAGTGGTGAGATGTTAGTGGTCAGTGGTGGCTGGAATCTGGCCTTTCTTTGGAAAGGTTCATGGGGCCTAAATTTATATACTGTACATGATTCATCGGATGCTCATTGCCCAGAAACTTGCCCTGTATTGCTGTTGAGCCCCTTCTCCCAAAACTGGCTCTTCCACTTCCATTGATCCTTGTGGGAGATTTCCGCACTGACTGAGGATCGGGATCGGTATTACTATGGCGTGAATGACATGTTCAGGTGGTGGAGATCGATGGGCGGAGATCGTTTGATGAGATTGAGAATGCTTGAGGTTAGTGGTGTGTGTGTGTCTCAGGCAGTCTCAGGCTTGTAGACAAGTAGATTGTTCCGTTGATGAGTTGTGTCGCATCCTCCTTGCCCAAGATAATGTTGTTTTTTGACTGAAAGGCTTAAAACCAATTTTGGAATTCTGGTTCTTTGGTTGGCTATGCCTATGCCGAGATTGAAAGACGATCGTGCCGGGTAAAACATTATCCGCTGTATGTCAACTCTGAATTGCTCTTTTCAACCACTGCAGTGGACAGTGCTTTGACTGTCAACAGCTGGGGGTCGAATCTCGCTCGATCTATCAGAGTTGTTCAGAGCTCAGAGTTTTACTGAGTGAACTGCTGAATAAGCAAACCTAGAACGCATCAGAACGCACTGAGGAATGGGCATGCAGATGCTTCTTTGTAGCTTCTCCTTCAGTTAGCCCTTGGACAAAACGAGAAACTGCAAAGTAGGCAAAAGACAGTGTCAAGTTTCAAGCCGTTGCTTCTCCCAAAAGTTTTTATCAAAGAAAAATTATCGTCGCCTGCCAAGCATGCATCAAAGTGAGAAAGATGTCGCACAAGTTTCTGGAAGGCGTCAGCAACCCAGACAGTGAAAGCCCTTCTTGGTGGCATAAACAATAAACTTTATATAAACAATACTTCCGACCAATGTGGCACCTGGCCAATCAATGCAAAGCATAACTTTGGCGAAAGCCCACTGAGTAGAGCCAAAAACACTATATTTCAATATATTTCATCTCCGTGGTGAATTGTACTTCAGAACCAATGTACATGACCACCATGTTGGGCTTATGCAGAGGTCCATGGTCCATTATATGTTTTTCCTTTTCCCTAAACATCCTCATGGATAATGGGGCTACAGAATGATAAGCAGTGATCCAAAAATCAACAAACAACTGCCGACCATCGACTCAATCGAATCGCAACCGGAGGTTCCAGCCGGACATTGCAGCAAACATCCTACAAGAAGCACCCAAGCTGGTGAACGTCTTTTTGGATGGGCTCATTTGGCGCTCGCACAAGACCAAGGACATTCGCAAATTGACTGTGTGTGTGTGTGTTTTTCTTCCGCGGTAAACACCGCGCCTCCGCTTGTGCGCTGGCATGCACACGTCGCTGGCATGTTTTGATATTTGGCTTGATGTTGCTCATGATCCTGGGAAGGGCGAGTCGTCCGTTTGGTGACTGGTGGGTCGTTGGTGAGCCTCAGTGTTTCGTAATGTTGTCTACGACATTCTACGACAAAAACCGTGCTCGGTGCTTGGATTTTGGTTGGTGCTGGTCCCTGCATGCGCCGTGTGCGGGCGAGCAGAAGTGCTACGTCCTTTAGGGGGAGCTACTTGGAGTTCATCCGAATTGTAAAGCCCACGACATCAGGACGGCCTGCGTCCCGTGGTGTACTACATGGAACATTTGCTCCAAGACACCGACGAGGAGATGATGGTCTCACGAGCTTTGGTCAGTTTCTTTGGAAAAATCATGGCACGCTCCCGCAACAGCCTGACCTTTTGCGAATACCAAACAGGTGGTGAACTCCGACTCCACTTCCATGATGATTCCAGGGAACGTAGCAGTTTTTGGCTTGCTTGGTACAAAGTTGGAGACCTGACATGTCCTGAAAGAAGTCGTTTGACGGCGCACTGTTGTGCGGTTGTGCGAACCCGTTGTTTGGATCAAATATATGCATGCATGTACAACATGATGCAACCCCTTGGCTAGAGTGCATATTGTTATAATACATAACAAACAAATGAACATTCATATTGGTTTTGCTTCAGAGGCAAGAGGTGACTGTACCAAGAAATTAATGAATCTCCTTGGACCAAGCCTTTAGCAATTGGTTTCCGTTGTTTTTTCTGTCTTCTCGGGGACGCTTCTTCGACAAGCTTTAGGGAGTGGATCGTCTAAAGATTGGGACAACAAACGTCCCTGGGACACTGTCTAAGTTAGTGTGTCTTTCACCAAGTTGGCACATTCCTGATCTTCCGTTTCCTTGTGAATCGATGAATCCTCCTCCGTCCTCCGTCGTTTTTGGGTCCGTTTGGGCCGGGCCGCCAAGTGCGAAGAGATCGGTTCGAAGAAACAGGTGTTTTGGATGCCCGAAAAGCCGAACAAAACCGGAAAGAGTCTCTTTGTTGGGTCATCACCAAAGAGGGTGGCAGAAGCTTCAAGAGGTTGTTTGATGTTTAACGGGTTCTAGGGGTCCTGGGTGCTCAAGTTTTCTACGTTTTGGAAACGAGTCTTGGAAGAAACAGAGTTGATCTGCTGCGCGGTCGGACCTGGTCAGATACACTAGCTGGAGTCTACAATCTACACCAGAATCATGGTCATGGAATTTGGTCAGTCCGGTGTCTTTGACTCTGAGGAGCGTGGTGCTGTTCTCCAAATCCAGGGCACCCCACCGTGGCACTTGTTTTTTTGAGGTTTCGTGCACTTCCGAAACCCAAAGATCATTGTCCATCCGATCCTGATCTTTGCCTCTTGGAGTTGACCATTCACTGTCATGAACACTGTCCCTACAGCTCCAAGTACCTTCTGCGAAAAGTGTTTGGGGTGGGTTTGGAGAGTCCAAATACCTTATGAAGAGGTACTTGGAGCATTAGGGTATGTTTCCGTGCACCTATCTATATGTAATTTGGAGTGTACCAACTCTCTAACTGATGCAGATGAAGGGTCCTTGCAATACGTTCTGGATCACATTTTTGTGTGACCCATTGAAATCTAAATCCGATACAATGCATGCATTAGATATTTGCCCACGTGGGTGATTTTCAGATATTGGTCATTTTATAGGTAACTCTTACATCGATTGTTAAGGTACATACATACATACATACATGCATGCATGCATACATACATACATACATACATACACACACATACATACTTACCTACACATACATACATACATACATACATACACATACATACATACACACACATACATACATACACATACATGCATATACATACATACACATACATACAAATACATACAAATACATACATGCATGCATGCACCCATGCATGCATACATACATACTTACATACATACATACATACACACATTCATACATACATACATACATATACATACACATGCATACATACATACAGACACATACATACACATGCATGCATACATACATACATACATACACATACATACATGCATACATACACATACATACACACATATTTACATACACACACACACACATACACCACATACATACATACATACATACATACATACATACATACATACATACATACATACACACATACATACATACATACATACATACACTTGGCTCAAGATTTCGGCCCAAGAGCAACTAGATGCCACGTGGTTGGCACTACACGAGCTGAAGGAGAACGCTCTTGAGGCTGAGGGTGGTGACTACACCCGCCTACATACATGGTGTGCACGGGATGCCAACAAAGCTGGATATGGAATGACCGGCTTGTTGGAAAGCCAGGGCTCAAATGCATCCACTGCCAGACACCATGGCAGAAACCTCAACTTCCTGACCTTCGACAACAGCACCGAGTGACATGGGCTGCTTGGAACTTCCCCAAGGGAGGTGCACAATGGCCAAGGAAGTCCTACCAGGAAGCTCTTCTAGAGTCTCCACCAGGTCTTCATGGAGGGCATGCAGGCAAGAAGCAGAAAAAGGTCAAGCAGACAGCTTTGTGCAAGGCGGTTCAGGAGCACTGGGACACACTCCCTGAAGCGCTGCGGACTCAGTGTGAGGCTCTTGGAGTACCACCTGCAGTTCCACCGCCTCCACAAGACTTGCCTACGCTCATAAAGGAGCACCTTCAGAGCCTGCCTCAGGACCTCAAGGCAGCTGTCGAGAAGATCGTTGAGCCTGAAAAGCCTGAGCCTACACTAGCCACGAAATTGAAGCTATCTGTAGGAGCACTCAGGCAACTCACGGACAAGAAGGCCGCCATTCAAGCTAAGGCAGATGCAGTCAAGACCCAGTACACGGCCTTACTTCAAGAGTTGGAGGGACTTCGGGGCAGGCCGCGACCTTATACAACCAGCAGTTGGAGAAGGATAGACAGGCAGCTGACGAGACCAACATGGACCCGGATGAGCTGACGACAGAAAATTTGATGGCCATCATGGCCAGTGTAGGAGTTCAGGCCACACAGAGCCAGATCCAAGACTTTGCCAGCAAGCTCGTCGAGAATGTGGCAAAAAGAAGAAAGTGTGGGTAACCCCACCAATGTGCAACATGGAGGGATCAGTCAGACTGTGTGCGCACATCATGGGGCAAATGATGTAAGCATGGAGTCTACCGCTGAAGTTTTTGGCTCAGGCTATCTACAACCTGAGCTTGGGGTTGCATCAACGCCTTTGGCGATGATGCCAATGGAAGGGATCACCTTTCCAACCTTTTGTGGAGGTGCAAGCTCTCAAGACGACAACATGGGAGATAGCGCACCTGAAGATGCAAAGATTTTTCAAGAAGAGCCGCAGCATGGAGACAGAACCTCACTGGACTTTGTGCTGCAAAATTTGCAATGCCGCCTTGGCAATCCACGGAACCGATGTTTTGCCAATGCGCCTTTTCGGCTGTGGGCTTGGGCTGGAAGTTTTCTGGCAGGGCCCAAGATGTGGAACCTCACAGCTGCAGCACTACATGCAGCCCTCAGTGACGACGATGTTGTACAGATCACAAAGCTTCCTACCATGAAGCCATTGTGGTCCAAGTTCGATGACAGCATACAAGATGATGCAGCCCAGTTCCTCCTTGAGATGGTGGATCTAGCACAGCCGGCCCATGTGATCACACATCATCATCATGTGGATCATCGGCAACAAGTGCATAAAAGGAAAGAATTTCCCACACATTTGATCTTTGAAGATCGTGGAGAACCTCAACAGTTCGAAGAGCTCATCAGCAAATGGGCAAACCAAGCGGAAGGTCAAATTCTTGATGGAAGAGGCCTTTGGGTTGCGCAAGTTGGACGATACACACTTGTTGACAATGAGTGGACAAAACATCATCAAGTGTTACAGATCCCCTCCATCTTCAACCTTCCTTTGACTCTTGATGGTCAGAGCACCAAGACGGAGCAATTCTCTTTGGTGGGATTGCTGTGTCATTCTGGCACAGCTCACAAGAGTGGACACTTTTTTGCTGTTTTTGTCTACAGAGGCCTTTATTGGATTGTAGATGACGGCTCATACCCACGTCTTGTACTTCAACTTCAGGAAACTTTGAAGACCCAGATTGTACAGGTCTGGGTCTGGGCCATTCCATCCAGGCTGATGCTGCCTATTGACATCCCTTGTGGCGTTCCTATGCATGGACCAGTTGAACCAGAGTTTGAAGTTCCGCCCAAACGAAGATGTTTTGCGTATGCCAATGTGACTAGTTTGGGACCACATGTACGGCAATGGCTTTTAGGCAGAGAAAGGACTCCTATCTTTCTTGCTGAAACACACTTGGGATGCCAAAACCTTCCAATGGCTGAGTACCCGTGGTTTTGCTGCGATCAGCCCAAAACTGATGGTGGTTTTCCCAACAATCTCCATTTTCACTTCATCCAAAAGCAATTCATTGACGGCTGTGGTTGGTTTGCTGTACACTGGACGTTTGAGAATTTTGGCCTCATCATCATGGTGTATTTCAAATGTGGAGAAGGGCTTCAAGGGGCCACGAATGCTCGTTTGTGGTCTGGTTTGCTCACCTTTGTGACCAATCTGGCTACACCGGCCATAGTGATTGGTGATTTCAACATCACGCCCGAAGAATTCATGACTACCTCCATGAACACTGTGATGCAAATGCAAGTTCTAGCAACAGGCGAGGACACCTGTCTGACTGGACGAGAAATTGATTGGGCCTTGGTCCCCAATGCTCTGCACCCAGAAGCACGGATCAAAGTTGACTGGCAAGTTCCTTTCAAACCTCATGGGCAACTTACCCTTCATTTGGACAAAAGAGCTTCAGCACATCACGGTGAAACAGATCCAACGTTTCCAACCTACACCGAAACTTGACAAAGTGAAGATTGAATGGAGCCAGCTTGAAGACATCGATTTGCCTGTCAGATGGCTTGAGCTGCCCACAAATAGTTTGACACAAAGAACAGGCAGTCTTTATCGCAAGATGGAGAGGTATGTCCTTCAACATCATGACCAGCCACATTTTGGTCGAGGAACACAGCTGACATACATACAGAGGCCACTGGCGGATCCAAGTCGTCCATGAATTTGGAAACGAGGCACCTTGGCCTATTGGGCTCAGATGGAGATCAGGCTCCAGCAGCGTTTGCATCGACTGCAACGAGATCAGGGAGTCATGCACCATCTTGAGAAGCTTGGGCGGCACATTTCAGCAAACTGGCACTCAGATGCAAACATGACCCAAGAAGGTTTCGTGCTTCTTTTCCAGATGCTTTGGAAACCGCATGACACAGAACATATCACAGTGCTCCTGCAAGCTGTCAAACAACAGTGGGAACTCAACCAGCAGCAGATCTGTGATCATGAGTCACAAGAATACCGGTCCTGGCTTCAACAGCCACCAAACAGGGCTGCAGAGGCCTGTACAGAACGCTCAAGCGTGATGAAATGCCGTATGCTCGAACTTTTCAAGAATGTCCCAGAGCAGAACGGATGCAGAAGAGACTACAGCAATGGGGCACCACTTGGGCAGAGCAAGCTGAACCTTTGGAGCCCACTACATTGCAAGCAC